CTGGGATCCAAAAGACCCCAGGACAGACAGACATTCCTCAGAGCAAATGAAGAACAACACTGTTAATATAAAAGAGGACAGCACTGTGTTTATGTGTGTATTCACATGTATGTATCATTTTAATGTACCTTGAGCCATCAGGCTGTTATTTTAACATTAGTCTTCATGCTGTGAATCAGTCTGAGTGTCATGAGTTGCTTTTGAAAGAAGCAGTTATTGTACATTTCTTATTGTACAAGTATGTTCTGACCAGAAACCTTTTCCAGATCATGTTTATTTTGTTAGATCTATTTAATCAGATTAGGTCTATATTTAGTCATACAATGTGAGTACAAGTAAAGAACACTTTGTGCTATAGCTACAGCTAAGAATACCGCAGTAATTGGGTGCCCCCCAAAATATAGCTATGGGCCCCCCCAAAAAATAAATCCTAGAATCGCCACTGGTCAGCTGAGCCTTTCCCTTTGCCCTACAGCACAATGTACAGAATGTGCCTTGCCTTTGTTTTCTTCTGCCCTTGACAATTATAGTTAGCAGCTTTTATCAGTGGACAGTAATCAGAAACATATTGTGTTTTGCCAGAGGTATGTCACATCGACTGACCTATTCATGACTGAACCGTAAACATTGTAGTTGCCGTTAATAATGTTGAATAGTTTCATGTTTAATTAATACCATACTTGCTTATCAAGTAAAATGACACTCACCAATAAAAAAGTGAATTTTGAAGCCTTTTTCTTAATTCTAGTTTGTGTCACAAAGTGCTTTCAATTCAATTCAATTCAATTCAGTTTTATTTGTATAGCGCCTATACTGGTGTGTGTGTGTGTGTGTGTGTGTGTGTGTGTGTGTGTATTAATTCACTGGGAGTTGCTGTAGCTTGTTAGCAGGAATTTTACCAGTGAAGCTGTCAGGGTGTGTTAAGTTGTGCCACAAATCAAGCAGGACAAAGGAAACAGGCACATGAAAACACAGTTCCACCAGCAGATACACACACAGCCATACATAGAGCATACACATCAAGAGGGTTACGTTGCTTGGCTGTTCATCTGTAACAAAACTGCCTCGAAGCCAGTCTCATTCCTGGAGCCTTTTCTCAGAGTTGTCTAAGATGTAAATTCCCTGTTGTACAAGGTCAAAGAGAGGGGACCTCTGACTTACTATTAATTAATGATGTGTTTGTCCAGTACACTCACCATAAATGCAAAAGATTTGTCTTGAACTGAGTGCACACCAGTTTCAGTGGTGTGACGAATGAGTCCACATTATCATTTTGGTTTGAATTCCAAGCCTCTCTGGGGAGTTTGTATGTTGTCCTATGTGTTTGTGTAGGTTCGCTCAGGGTGGTCGGGTTTTCTTCATGGTAAAATGAAAGAAAAAGATTACTTAGAACACGTCTACTTTATTTCAGTGTCCAAATAATTTGCATATCTGTAGTGGGTTGTTATGTTATGCAATGATTTTTATGTAGCAACAGAGAGCATCATTAATCTCTGAAGAAAGAGCTGGGTCCTATTAAAACAGCCCTATAGGGTACCATGATTTGGTTTAATACAAAAAAACAAACAAACAAACAAAAAATTATATATCTATATATATATAATGAAAGTCTGAATATATGGAATGAAAGTCTGAATATATATAATGAAAGTCTGAATATATGGAATGAAAGTCTGAATGTATATAATGCAAGTCTGAATATATGGAATGAAAGTCTTTCATTCCATATATTCAGACCTTCATTCCATATATTCAGACTGTTACATATATATATAATTTCCTAAACGGCATGCCATATATATACATATGTGTGTATATATATATATATATATATATAAAGACTGGATAAAAAAATCAAAAATTGAAATATCCTATCTAAGTATGTACAGTTGAAACCAGAAGTTTACGTATGCTGTACAAAGAGACACAATCTTTTCTTTTTCTCACTGTCTGACATTAAATCAGACTAAACTTTTCCTGTTTTAGGTCAGTTAGGATTACCACATTTTTTTCTTTTCGCTAAATGCGAGAATAATGAGAGAGATAATTTTTTCAAGATTTTTCTTATTATTATCTTCAAAGTCAGAAGTTTACATACACTAGGATTACTATGCCTTCAAACCATTTGGTAAAGCCCAAATGATGATGTCATAGCTTTGTAAGCTTTTGATAGGTTAACTGACAACATTGGAAGCACACCCGTGGAGGTATTTAAGGCACATCTCAAACTCACTGCTTCCTTTTGTGACAACATGAGGAAATATAAAGAAATCATTCAAGATATCAGAAAGAGAATTATGGACCTCCACAAGTCTAGTTCATCCTTGGGTACAATTTCCAGATGCCTGAAGGTTCCATGTTCATCTGTTCAAACAGTTGTACGCAAGTATAAACACCATGGGAATGTCCAGCCATCATACCGCTCAGGAAGGAGACGGGTTCTGTGTCCCAGAGATGAACATATTTTGTAAAATGTGTGTATCAACCCCAGAACAAAAGCAAAAGACCTCGTGAAGATGCTGCTGAAGCTGGTAAAAGAGTCATTATGCACAGTGAAACGAGTTCTGTACCAACATGGGCTGAAAGGCTGCTCAGCGAGGACGAAGACATTACTCCAAAAGCAACATAAAAAATCCAGATTACAGTTTGCGAATGCACAAAGGGACTCATTTTTGGAGATGTGCCCTGTGGTCTGATGAAACTAAAACTGTTTCACCCTAATGACCATTGCTACATTCGGAGGAGAAAGGGGGAAGCTTGCAAGCCTGAGAACAGCATCCCAACTGTGAAGTACGGGGGTGGCAGCATCATGTTGTGGGGTATTTTGCTGCAGGAGGGACTGGTGCACTTTACAAAAATAGATGGCATCATGAGGAAAGAACATGATGTGGAAATATTGACGTTTGACCTCTGTCATTGCCAACAGAGGTTACGTTACAAAGTATTGAGTTGAACTTTTGTTATTGACCAAATACTTATTTTCCACCATAATTTAGAAATAAATTCTTTAAAAATCCCACAATGTGATTTCCTGGATTTTTTTTTCTCATTTTGTCTCTCATTGTTAAAGTGTACCTATGATCAAAATAACCGACCCTTCTCATCTTTCTAAGTAGGAGAACTTGCACAATCAGTGGCTGACTAAATACGTTTTGCCCCACTGTACTGAGGAAATGTATGTAAACTTCTGACTTTGAGGAAAGTAATAAAAAAATGATCTAAAAAAAATTCCCTCTCTCCATATTCTGGCGTTTAGCAAATAGAAATATTTTTCTTAATCCTTACCAACCTACAACAGTAAAAGTTTAGTCACATTTAATATCAGATAGTAAGAAAAAAAAGGTTATTTGTCTTTTTATACAGTGTATGTAAGCTTCTGATTTCAACTGTATTTAGACACTTTGTTATTCACAAGTCAGCTGTGGTACGTTCTGCCTCTGCCAATGGTCCTTGAGATATTTCTACTCCTCAATTGGAGTTTATCTGTACCTAATTGAATTTGCTGACATATTTAGGAAAGGAAGTAGTGTATGTCACAGTGTAAAGATTGTTTGTGTTACTGCATGACAGGATGCTGAGGTGTGGAGAGATCGAAGAAAATTTCTGGAGTCATACTCAGTCATCAGGAATGATGGGCCTTGCCAAGGCAGGCAACCACAAATCCAGTGGTCACTGTAAATGACATCCACAATTCCTTTGTGGAGATGGGAGAATTTTGCAGGAGGACAACTAGCTGTTTGGTACTCCTTTTAATATCCTTTGTGGTAGAGTGACCAGGAGCCAATCATCACATGACGGCACATGACAGCCAACTTGGAGTTTGCCAGAAAGCACCTACATGACTCCCAGATCATGAGAAGCAAAATCCCCTCCTCTGATAAAACAAAGACTAAATTCTTTGGCCACAATTCCCATTTGTGTTGAGTGGAGTGTGAACACAAGGAAAGAGGGCTGTAGAAAAATATAGACAAGGTGAAAACAGTTTTTAGAGTGCCCAGTATCTAAGGCTAAGGCAGTCCTTCTCAAATAGTGGAGCACACCCCCATCTGACCCCAGGGCAGTGTTAATTTTGTCAACGAAACTTAAATGAAAACTTTTTGTTGACGACCCTTTTTTCTGTGACTAATTTGTGACGAATTTAAGAAGTCCTGACAACAAAAATTAAAACGATATCTTTGTTCATTATCAGTTGACGAGTAAAGACATGACGAAAAAGATGAGGCCAGCCTGCCAGACATTCTGGATTGCAACCATCGTCTATGCCAGTGTTTTTCAAACGTGTTGGTCAAATGTAGCATCCACCCATGGGCATTTTCAGTAATTGTTTGTGACCAGTTAATGACTGATATTAGAAGAGGATTGTGACAAAATAAATATATTTTAAACATTTTACAAATGTCTAGTCTTGTATCACTGAAAATCATTGCAACATAACTAAGTAATGCAAAAACAACTATTCATCAGCATGCATGGTGGATGAATAGCTGTGGCAATGCTGAAAAAAATTGAGAAAAATTAGAGAAACTTCCAAAAGAAAGTTACACCAGGCTTGTGGGATGCCTCTCAAGAATAGTGTGGCTGTTGTTGCTGCCAAATGTGCAAGCATCTGAATGTATGTTTCATTATTTTATGACTGATACATTGACACAACACTCCAAAAACTATTTTCACTTCATCATTGTGGAGTATTGCATGTAAATTGAGATTTAAAAAAAAAAATGAATTTAATCGATTTTATGATGAGTCTGAAACACAACAAAGTGTGGAAAACTTAAAAGGGAATGAAAACTGTCCGTATGCGCTGTATTCTTATTGTGTAAGTTGATTCATGTTGGGACTTGCTTTGCATTGACTGATGTTTTATTGCTCCTCTCTCTCTGTCTTCCAGAGTCTGCAGAGCTCCTCTCAGGGTCTTCTACAGCCCTTCTGTGATCACGGGCCTGCCTAGCATCTCTCATCCATATCATTCCTTTTTCCATTCACCCATCCTTCCCCCTGTCATGAAAGGCCTGTCGAGTAGTCGGAGTCACCATCATGTGGTCTCCTATGAACCATCATATGATCCACTGGGTCATCATGTTGACCGCAAGCCATATTTAATCAGTCAGATGGACATGCCTGTACCCATTCCCATGCCACATCCAGCTGAGTTGCCCTACTACAATGCTCAGCGTACCTCGTACCCCTCTGACAGCAACAGTATCGTCCCATATGGAACCTTCCCAAGGAGGTGTCACTCCACCTCTTCATCTCACCATCCTGAGGTAAAGGATGAGTGTATGGCCATGGTACCATATGTAGGAGAAGGAGGAGGAGGAGGAGGAGGAGGAGGTGGAGGAGGAGGCTATGGGGGTAAAACGCCCACTCGGGTGCCAGCAAACTTTGCGGACCCATTTGAGCGTCAGCCATCATTTTCCAGAGATGGCTACCATACACTGCAGTACAAACGAGGAATGCTGGCCCACAGTGGGGGGATGGGGGCCGCCAACAACAACAACAACGACAGCCCAGGGAGAATTCGCCACTTGGTCCACTCAGTCCAAAAACTTTTTACTAAGTCACATTCATTGGAGGGGCCACACCATACACAGTCATCTAAGGGGGCCAATAATGGGAGTGTTAATGGTGGTGGTGGTGGCGGAGGAGGTGGTGGTGGTGGTTCAAGGGCCAGCCCAGAAGGTGAAACTCCACCAGTGGGAATGCGCCATCGGAAGCGCAGCAAGAGCCGCGAACGCTGTCGATCAGCAGAGCCCAAGCATCGAAGCCACCACCACCACCACCACCAGCTCCACGGCTCAGCATCTGCTCCAGGCTCTGGATATTGGAGCTCAGATGACAACCTGGAACGGGAGCTGTGTCTCTACCACCCCCACCACCACCAACCTCCACCCTCACCCTCCCCCTCCATTTCCCCCTCACCTATCGCCATGACAATGGGCCGGTACCCCGGCAACAACCCTGACAAGTTCCCCCAGACTCCCCTCCCTAGTCTCTCCTCCTCACAGTCCCAGCAGTACTTTATGATGGACCCTTACGGCACACTCAACGAGCACACATACACCCATGCACACCATGGCCACACACACCACCATTCTGCACTCAAAGCCTCGCGGAGCAACAACGATGTGAAGTATGCAGCGTCGCCGGCATGTGTGCCAGTTAGTGGTAGCAGCAATAACAGCGGTGGCGTTGGAGGAAGTGGCCCCTTGCTGCCACTGAGTCTTGTGGACGGGCCCCTTGTGAAGAAAGGGGCATGGTCATCAAGCCTAACGGTGAGCAGGGCCCGAGAGGTCTACACCAACAACAGCAGCCACAACCAGCTACGAGCCAGCGCAGGATCCGGTAACCTAAACCTAGATAGAGCTCTAGTCAAATCTAAGGGCAGTCAGCAGCAGGAGCGCTCTTGCCATTTCTTACAGGTAAATAATTCCTCCCCGACTCCCATTCAAAACCAGTCAATTCACCCTTCTCCCCTGTGTTGACTCCCTTTTCTCCACAACTTACTTTTCTCACCAATGTTTCCTCTAAGTTAGTGGTGTCCAGTATTGCGAGACTTCACTCCTGCCAAACACTACATTCTCTGTCTGTACTGAAGAACTTTTCCAGTAAGAGAAGGGTAAATCACAAGTACAATCCATTACTAGAATGGACAAATGGTTAGTGTTGGAGAATTTAAACACTACTTCCAGGATGTGAGCAGCTTGTATATTCAGTTTGTAATTTATTTGGCAATTTAGCAGGAAGTTATCCCAATCTCAAAGTCATTCCTGAGCACTAGATTGCCTTTGAAAATTCATAGAATAATCTTTAATAAACAGTGAGAATGATTGCCCCCCACTGCCACAGTCCTGTGAGCGACAAATTCTAATGGATACAACTTGGTAGTGTTAGTGACACTTGTTCTTCTACCAATTTAATAAATAATGTTGTGAACATGTGAATATGATTTAGAATTTTTATTATATCATTTCAGACACTGAGAAGCTAGATTTTAGGTCTGTGGAAATCCAGGAACTCTATTGACTCTTATGTAGAAAGAGTTAGACAGGCAATCTAATAAATGTTTTATTAAATTGTCATAATATATGGACTAAATACGTGAGTCCCTGTACAATTTATGATTCATAATCCAAGCTTTGAGAGCAAGAGAGAGGTCAAAGACTGAACCAACTTAGAATATTTGCAAATTGGAAATATATTTGAATAACAAAAGTCTGTGAGAATCTAGATTTGTTAAAGGATATCCATGACAGTTTAAAGATGCTGCATGTTTTTACAAGAGACTTTTTAATAAATGTAGAACTGTCTGACCACCTTGCCAAAGGGTCTATGGTCAATGTCCAGACTTTCTAAGTAGTTGTTGTAGTGTTTGGTTGGAATGACATTTGCACATTTACATGGCTGGAAAGTATGACTGGATACCACTGGCTATGGCTGCAGGCACACTAGACCTGGTATTATGAGGACCTAAGCAAGATTAAAATCAACTTACAGACATTTAAAGCCTTTTGATTATGTTAAAAAAAAAAAAAAAGAAGTAGTGTTAGGGCTGTGAATAACAATTTTAACATTTTTTGTTTGTTTGTTTTATTATTATTGATTTTTTATTATTATTAAATGATTTAAAATGTATTTGAAAAATTATGACATTTTTCAATTTTCAAAAAGGAGCAATATCATCAAATAGATTGTCAAACCTACCCCCAATTTACAATTGCATAGGACAAGAAATGTGACAAATACTAACATTTTAGAGGCTTGAGAAAAAAAATCTTTCTAATTATAAATAAATAAATAATCAACTATCAACATAGTTGTTGATAATTAATGGATTCACAAATTCTTTTAACTCTAATTAGCATAAAAGCAATGTTGAAAGTACCAGTATATTGTTAATAACATATACATGTTATTACATAGTTGGTTCACAAGAGGTGTTTTGACTGATTTTAGTAAATTAGGACAACAGAGATTTAGAGACTGTTTGTAGAGAATGCAAGTAATGCTAACAGTTAGCAAACTGCATCAACTTACTAATAACTTAGCAAAAATTATGGACGTTGACTTTTTTACTTACTCTTATGTTTTCTTTTCTTTTTACTTGTGTTTGCTGTGATGGTCTTATTTAGGCAGACATAATAAAGAGATCACAGCAATGATAGAAACTGTACAGAAAACTACCAATCTACATTTTGCTTTATATCTTGACAGAGCAACCACCTCTACCAAGCACCAAAGACCAGTCAAGAGCAGACAGGCAAAGTGTCTTACCAGCAGCCTTAAGTTGAGTTTGGGGTTTGATGACTTTAGTTCTAACAGGACTGAAAACAACAGGGGTGTTAAATAGTGCAGTGATGCACTGAGCAAAATCTCCAAGCATCCTATCAATAGCTGTGCTCCAAATCAGGTAACAGGAAAATATTGTAGTGCCTCCACAGCCTTAGAGGGAACATTGCTCCCTATCACCAGTCTATTAGTCTGATGTACCAAGAACCCCACTGCTACCTTCCCCCTTTTCTCCACCACTCCCACCCCTCCCGCCTTTCCTCCACTCACCCAACTCACCTCCACGCTTCTTATCCACCTAACCACTTGCCACCCACCTTCACCTCCTTTACTTCCTCTTGGTTTGGGGAGCCTCCCTCTTCCTTCTCTTCCTCCTCTTTCCTCCTTTTGAGTTGAAGAGAGAAGTAAGTGCAGAGTCAATAGCAGCCTTACTCTCTGAATGCTAGGTAATGACATGAACTCATGAAGAATGACATCCTTTCCTGTTTGTAGACCTCATTTTTAATTTAGTAGTGCTTCCCTTTTTGCCTCGCTACTGGTTATCTTGCCTTTTCCCATTGGTTTTGTCTCGATTGCTTGTTGTTAAAACATGCATTTCTTTGAAGTGCTGTGTTGAGCTAAGTGTTGGTGAGGCCTTTAACTACATAGGGGTACATCGCCAACCTACAAGTAACTTTTCTCTGTTGTGAAGTACACTGCATTTTTTTTAACCTAAACATTCGATCTAGAAGGGACAACAATTTTGGTGAGCTAACTGTATAATGAAAAGAAAGCTGTGGATTCATCAACGACAGTGCTGTCCGATTACAAATCTTGCAACAGAGGCTCCAAGATTATGATTAATCACTAAATTATCAATGGCATTTACAGTTGTCACAATCACTACACCACCTGTGCAGTTGTTGGTATGAAACTGGTTGATTGATATTCGAAAAAAACAACTTTCCATCTATGTAAAATCTAAAATACTGTATTTTGTTGCCAGTAAATTTTGAAAAAAATCCTCTCGACAGAATCAGCCCATGTTGTAGAAAAAAATAAAATAATCAGTGAAACGGACCAGATTACTCGTACTGTGACTCTGTGTATTTCATCAATACACATTTTCAGTGGAAAAATTAACACAGCTTTTGTCCTGAAATCATACCGTTGATGTAGGACGCGTAGTAAAAACACAAATACCAATTTTCTGACCAATCAGCACCACTATAATATCATCTCAATACTTCTGACTGCCACGACTTGCATCTCGCAGTTTATGTGAAACAGTGTGCAGAAGTATGTAGGCTACTGTCATTGAGGAATGCAGTTCAACTAAGTTAGATGGCCTCAACAGCACCTGCTCATGTTGTGTATTTATTTGTCTCTGTACTGTGCATTGTGGCAAAATCTCGAATATGAATGTGTGCGCGCGCACATGTGTGTGTGCGCGCGCGCGTGTGTGTATGTGTATGTGGTTAGGATTTCTAAGGAGAGAGTGCAGTCACATGATACAGTTTATCAGAATTGCCAACATGAGAGTGAACATTTATGTGAATTATACATTAAATTTTGAAAAACCGACCAGGGCTTTTTCAGCTATAGTAAGAGAGTTCACTTACGTCTGTTTTGTTATTTTCTGAATCCCCAAATACTGTTCTAACAATTTCAGTTTCAACTCCATTCCCACTAACACCAATATCTGATTGAGTTTAGTGCCAATACAACACAGATTACACTTGTGCTTTTGGAGTGATTGTTGTTTTAACTGCCAATTAAGTAGTGAATTATATTTTAGTAAGGAATAAGCTGTAGTACTGAAAGTGAGGTTCAGGATGTTTTTTTGTTGTTGTTTTTTTTTTTTTTTACAGAGGGCACAAAGACAAATCAAAAACAAACTCAAATGAATGCAAAATGAATAGCTAAGCATAAGAAATACAACTGGAAAACCTACCTTTTATCTTTATGTCATAGAGTCTTTGATTTTGGTAACATCAACCACAAGCAGCCTGTCAGAGCTGCTGCATCATTTGTGTTAAGAGAACATATTAAATCTGTCCCCATCACATGTGGCAACATATGTTCAGTCTGCAAATTATTATCTTCAGCATCTCAATAGCACAGCTGCTGGCTGCACTGTTACAGTGCTTGTAATTTCTAATGCTGCTGCCTTAAGCCATCAAAACAGGTTTGCCAAGGAATGGTCTGGGACAATCTTTCTATAAAATCCCCAGCATATTGTACACACTCAGTCACTGCGAATGTCACATGCACAAGGACCTATTTCTTTAAATGTGGATGCCAGCTAGATTCCTGGTTTTATTGTTAAACCTCAGAAATGCACCAAATCTCCAGCAAACAGCATCTATAATAATGACAGTGTAAAATGTAGACGGCAGTGATCCACTGTTCCTCAGCAACTACAGTAGAAAGAATGTTGAGCTGCAGTTGATGTGAGGCCTGTGCGTGGGTGAGAGGTGCTGCTGATGCTACTGCAGCTGGTCCTTTCCCCGCATTCTCTTTTTATAGCCAAACTGCTCATTTGTGACTCTTTGACGTCACACACATACTGAGAGAGAGAAAGAGAGAGAGAGAGAGAGGAAGAGAGACAGACAGACAGACAGAGACAGACATTTAACCCTGCAGTTCAGTCCTTTCCCTCTGTGATTCATATATAATTAGTCAGGGTAGCAGTGAGTAGCAGTCCTGCTGTCTCTTGTTCTCCTGATTTCCGTCATTATCTGTTAAATTCTCACACTCTGGTGTCCGGTCTGAAGGCAGTAAATGCTTACAAATTCGACACAGACATTCCAGAATTGCTGTAAAGGGATATATATATATATATATAGCTTAAATGCAGAACATGTATGGGCTTCTGGAAAGTCAACGGTAAGAACACTAACTGCCAGTATTTGGCTTTACTGGGTCACATATGTAACTATTTTCTTATTAACTTAAAGGTCCCATGTTGTTCCCCTTTGCAGCAAATCAATGAAAGTGTCACATGTCCTGAGAATATGTCTTTCAATTTTTCAGCTCAAGATACTGCGAACATGGTTAATTTTCCCATCACTGGGCTATTGTACCGCAGATCCATAATACTGTAAAGAGGAAGCAAAACAGTGCTGGTTCACTTTGCATGTTTTGAGAAATATAAGGAGAAAGTTTACATATTGTTCCTTCATCATTGTTATTGGGACTTCTAAAGCACTAACCACTTCTTCTATGGCAGTTTAATAATGCAGCTGAGTTTGCTCTATTTTAGGAAAACAATAATCATTCCTTTCTGTCACAACCCCTAATATCAAAAACTGGCAAACAATCCCTTACAAAGGCTGAAAGTCTAGCTTGTTCAGAATGTGGCAACAGCTATACCAATGAAGAGGGAGAAAAGTAAAGATCACCATAGTCCTTGGCTTCACTGGCTTCCTCGCTATTCTAGAATAGGAATGAAAATCTGTTTTCATGCATATGCATGAGGCCCCTCTGGCTCTTGCAAATTTACCTTTTACAGACTCCCCTCAGTGAGAATCTTTTTTTAAAATTTTTTTATCCTGTTAAAATGTCCATATGATGATTTATTATATGCTGGAACTCATTTCATGAGAAAAATAAGCAGTCAACACCATGGTTGAGCATTTCTGTCTTGAAACTGCAGTGTAATGATGACAGTCTCAAAAACAGATTCAAACGTACAGGGTTTAATGTGAAACAAACCAAAGGAACCAATCTTGTCCATTTGCAGGGTAGGGTTTCCATATTATTTATCTTCTTTAGAATCAGTTCTTGGTTTGGACACGTATGGCTGAATTACTCGAACATTACAACTTGCCATTGTGTAGCACAGAAGAGTTTTACAGTGTTTAAGGTGATGGTGCTCCAGCTTCAACAAGCAGAATGGGGTGAGCCGAAGCATGGACTCCATTAGACTCCTGAAGTGTCCTGTAGTATCAGGCACCAAGATGTTAGCAGCAGATCCTTTAAATCCCAGAAGTTGTGAAGTGGGGACTCTATGAATTGGACTTGTTTATCCAGCACATCCCACTGATGCTTGATTGTATTAGGATCTGGGAAAATGAAAGGCCAAGTCAATACCTGAAGTCATGGTCCTAAAATTATTCCTGAGCAATGTTTGCAGTGTGGTAGAACAACCCAGTCTCACGGCAATTTGTGAAATAGGTGAAATTAAATTGTTACCATTTAATCTCATTTTAATAAGAAAAAACAATGAGTAACTACAGCAGAAATTAGGCCTTACTTGTACATGTGTACGGCTCTTAGAGAGTGCTTATAACATAACAGTGTATTTATGGTAAATAAGAGGCCATGGAGTAACTAGTATATATCTTAATCCACGTCTATCCTTGATTTTCTCTTCAGCTTCTCTCTTCACCCCCCTTGTGTGATGTCGTCCTTTTAACCAGTTTTTAATGACCTGTCCTTTCTGTACATTTTCATGTTTTACACTGTGTATTTACATGTGTTTTCATGCACATTATTATTTTTACCTGTG